TGCATGGGCCTAGCCCATGCCCATAACAGTACAAGATCTTATAAAGGGCACCAACAATGGTTATTTTGGGAAACTATACCAAAAGTTAGCATGAAACAGCTTAGTGCTGTGATTTGTGATATCAAGATAAACTACTAGAAGCCCGTAGGCAGTGGAAGGATGGCTAGATGGTGCATGTGTGGCACTGTGTCAGGACGGGCAGCCACAATTTGGAGGTGATGTGGGTGAGCAAGGCTGTGAACAGTAACATTTTAGGAACACGGAACAAAAGATATCATATAATGTCTACAGAAATGTGCTCATCGAAATTAATAAACCAAAGTACCAGACACAGCACAGCATACCTGGGCACCAATAGGAACAGGCAACAAGCCATAAACAGAGCGGGCTAGCACAGCAAGTATACAGTTCTCAGTTTCAACAAGCTTTTGAACATCACGAAGTACAACCGTCTGAACCAATGCATTGGGGGCTCTAAGGGACCGTATCTGAAACAAAACCAAGTAGTCAGGTGGAACGATGTAACTATAGCTTTAGTATACAAGATGAATAAACTCACCTCAACATGCCGTGGCAGGCGTGCCACCGCATATGGCCTATGTATAGCAACAGAGGCAGGCGTGTCTGACCAAATTATCCTGCCATCTTGAATAAGTTTCCCATTTTGGTCAACAAATACTCCAATATTATCCTGAGTAAACAAAGTAAATAGTACATGATTGAGCTAAGATTAAAGAAACTTACAAGTGAAAACAAGTTACTACATTCAGACCAACTGCCCCATCATTCCTCTAAAGCAGAATACTTTCATCTTTGAACCAAACAAATATCACAAAATGATTTCATCTAACCAAGCAATTTCATCAAATGGCAAATTGACAACAAAACATATATAATATCACAAAAAAAATTAACGTTATACCTTTCCCAGGAGGAGCTCCCCAGTAGGAAGAGCCACAACTAAAGGTGGAGCATTCCTTCCAGAAGAAAACACTTCAGTTAATGCACCAGTCATACTATTTATGATCATATACTCCTTTCTAATCCCAAGACAAATGTTGTCGCCACACCAGGCCATTGATTTCACGGTATCCGGAACTCCAAATTCCTTCACCTCAACAAACTCCCTCCCACCTGATAAACAGAAATTAAGTCACCATGCAACGCGTATTCAGAACAAGATCATTCAGCCATTTGATTTCTTTCAAGATTACCATAATCAAAATTTTAAAGGCACAACACAAACTCTAGTCTTAAGTTATGCCAAATGCTGCTAAATACATTTATTCTGATATACCTTGCACTTACAACAGTACTAAAAAAATTTTACAGGTCGTTTTTCCTTTACCAGTTTCAGCAAACAAAAGGCTAATGTTTCGTAAGCTTTTTCCCAAATTCAAGATACAGATAAATTACAAAAAGAAAACCCTGTTACCGGTTCCAGCACACAAAATTCTATTACTTCAGAAACTTCTTCTGAATTCTAATGATGCCTACATGTGCATGCAATTTGTGCCAAAAACAAAATCTACGATCAAGCAAATGACAAGAAAATTCATGAACACATGATTTCCTTGGTATGCTGTATCAATGTAGAGTTAGCAGAATAACACATTTTCTTTAAGTGGAATAATGAAATCGTGTGCCTTAGCAAAAATGTCTATATATCATCTTCATCTAACACCATTAGAACCAGAATAATTCTGGAATGTATGAACATGTTTTAACTGAAATATTTCATTGTGCCCAACATGTGGAAAAACAAAAAGGATCAGTAATTATTGCCAGAAAAAGAATAATCAAAGAGTGAATATACCAATTAATGATTCAAAAGTTTAATATCCTACACAAATAGCTTCCAACTACAAGAAATTCACTTATTAATCCCCCATGGTGTTCATAGAATATATCGCATCATTAGAACAGTAACTGTATTTTTCCACTAAAACATTTAGCCAACTTAAATAGATTAACTAAAGCCTGGAATTAACTCGAGTGTTTTTCCCTTTCTCCAACAGATCCCAAGTCCCAGCTAAGAACATCAATTCAGACTACACGGCCCCAATTCAATCCAGACTTCCCATTCTCCAAATTGAGCAGTACCAACAGGCCATCTCCATTTCCACCGAAACCCAAATGATGTAACAGTCAAATCATAGCCACAAACACTCAAATCACAACGAAAACGAATAGGCAATGCGGCCGAATTCTCACTGTCAAGGCGGAAGATGGTCAGGCGCTTCCAGCGGCCGACCGCGAGGAGGCCCCGGCGGTCGTCCCAGGCGAAGAGGTTGGCGCCCTTGGTCTTCCCGATGACGGCGACGGTCTCGAGCCCGGGGAGGCGGTGGAGGTTGACGCACTCGGCGAGCGAGAGCAGGAGCTCGCGGCCGGCGCTGACCTCCATCGCCAGGGGCGTCCCGCGGCGCCACAGCGAGGGCTGCTGCCGCTCCAGCGCGTACGGCCCGTCCCGCGGGATCCCGCCGCCGGCGTGGCCCGGGGAGGCGTAGATGCGGAGGGAGCCGTCCTTCCCCGCGACGAGGAGCCTCCCGGCGTAGGCGGCCACGGCCACGATGTCGCCCGGCACGCCGGAGACCAGCTCGACGGCGTCGTACGCGCTGTGCACCATGGCTGCCGCGGGCCCCCCCCCCCCGATCGGGCGGCGGTCTCCCGCCCCGGCGGCGGCGAGGCGAGTCGGCCGCGGCGGCGATCGTCGCGTGCGGCGAGGCGAGAACGAAAAGGGGGAAGAGCGAGATCGTTGCGTCGAGGACTCTGGCTCGGCTAGGCCATGATGGTATACGGAATGGGGGGTATAGTATAGCTGTATAGGTATACGGGATACAAACACATATTGGATTATTATTGGCATTGCTCGACCTTCAATAAAAACAATTATTTTCTTAAAGAAAAACCTCTTCTGATACGTTACTTAGATCACCTGTTCGTTCTAAATTTGTAAAACTTATTTATTAAAATATTAATTTATTTTGTTAATGAAATAGATATAATCCGTGCTAATAATCTTGTCGGTAAATAGGAGTTTGATTCATCGTGTGATGGCGCATGAAGCACACATGTTATATATGCTTTCTGACTTTGTTTTGCTGTTGTTTTGTTTGTACTTTAAAATAATATAGTTTTTATCAATCGTAAAAATTATCTTCACATGTTGCAATGCACATGCATTTTTGCTAGTCTAGAAAAAAAAATAGGGATATAACCCCTTTCCCTCTCCCTCTCTCCATTATACTCTCCTCGTTCCGGTCTCCTCCTTCGAATACCCCGCTATTGGAGCCCCTCCCCCTCCGTCGTTCTCCTTACCACCCACCGCCGGTGCCCCTCTCCCCCTCCCCTCCTCTCTTCAGTGACGTCGACATCGATGCCACCTTACCCCTCCACTCATGGCCGGCTGATGCAAGTGGCCACCACTACCTCTCCCGTCTCGCTTAGGGGGGCGGCGTGGCCGTCGAGCTCCGGCCGGCACGGACCCAGGGGTGGTGCGCCCAGCGAGCTCCTGGCGGCGTGGATTAAGGGGCGATGTGGCTGACACGGATTGGGAGACGCCGTGGCCGGCGAGCTCCGGCTGATGCGGATCAGGAGGCGGCACGGTGGAGTTGCTTTGGTGGTGATGCGATGGATCCCAACGATGATGCTCATAGGTCGCTGGTAGGCTCCACTTCTGCCCGCCACTCTCGTTCTCCCTTCCGCCGCCTTCTTGTCATCGCTTCTCTCTCCCTTCTGTTGCCTTTGCGCTAGGGCACTAGTTGTTGGTGCGAGAGAAGGAGAGCGTGGGAGGGGAATACACGAAGCCACGGAGTGATGAGATGATGACCTCCACAACGCGGCGCCCCGCCTTTCTCCCCACGCCGCACTCCCTCAATGGAGACGAAGTCCGTGTGCCCAATTTTGACTTCATGTGCTTCGTTTGGCTCCGCGGGTGATCGATGTGGAGGCGAATATTCTGCGTCGGGTGTTTGGGCCGAACGACACGGAGGCGCACTATGACCGCCAGCTAGATGCGCCGCCATTGCCGAGGTAGTCGCAACTAGGCTTTGGATCCCAGCTAGAAGAAGTCCCGCTGCCAGCTTCAGCCACCGTAGTTTGTTAGGGACGAGGTGGTCGCTGCTGATGTTGACACTCAACATAGTTGTCGTGGCCTCTAGAGATCTGAACTTGATGAGAAGTCATCGGCCTAAGCCCTAAAGATGGTTACTGCTGCCGACTTTCTAGAGTTCCATGTCGTCTCGGGCTAGAGGTATAGATGGCCATATGGCACAAGGCCCGCAGCCCGCCCCAAGGCACGCCAATTTGGCCCAGCCCAAGCAGGGCACAGCCCGACTGGGGTTGTGCTCGTGCCGGCCCGGTACAGCATGATCGGAAAAAAATAGTAGAGAGACGTAAATTAGACTTAGTTAACCATATAAGACAAATGCTCAAAGACAAGAGGAATACAAATAGACTTCTTTTGCAGCTATATGGACACAGTCCAGAGAGTTTAGATAGGAAAAATAGACCTTTTTTTTAAAAAAAAAGCACGATAGGCTGTCGTGCCTTCGTTCGAACCGGCACGACCCGAGTCTTACTTGGTCTCCAGACCGGCTGAGTGCACTTGCTGCAGCGAACTGTCACGACCTGGTTACTTTCTCATTTCTTCCTCGCTCGCGCGCTCTCTCTCTCCCTCTCTCTCTCTCTCTCTCGGTCCACGACCACAACTCCACAAGCACAGCTGCACAAGTAGCTCGCTGACGCCTCCAGCCTCCCATGGCCTCGTGGACCCGTAGTCCAACTGTCCAAGTTCGTGTGAGCCAATACAATCGGGAGATAAATATCACAACGAAACCACCTGATGGACCCACAAGGCAGTGAGAGAAACAACCATTTCTCTCCTCTCCCGAGGCGCATGCAAATGCTTCCAAAAAATTTGAGAAGCTTTGGTGTCAAAAAAAAAAAAACTTTGAGAAGCTTTTGGGGCCCACGTCCCGGGCCCCACCGCCTCCACCTCATCGTCCTCCTCCTCCGCTTCGCATTTCCTCTTCGAGTACAAGTAGTACTACTAGTAGTCATCGACTCGTCACGCGCAGCCGCGAACCCATTTCCAGAGCGAGAGCGGAGAGCGCACCGCCATTGCCGCACAGCTCCACCGCCCGCAGGCGAGTACCCGGCTCGGGAGGGAGGTGGTTTGGTGCTGGAGATGGCGGATCGTCTCACCGATGAGCAGATCGAGGACGTGCTCGCGCTCTTCGGCCGGAACGGTACGTGCTGTGTCGTCGTCGTTCTCGAGAGCGAGCACCATCACGGCGTCGAATCGGTTGCGAGTTCTTCCTTCCGCTACTTCTCTAGTAACCCGTTGCTTCGTTGGATCGTGCTGCGGCTGTTTCTGTGTATGCTGCGCGGTGATCATGCTTGATCGGTCAAGACGAGGCTGCATTTTGCTGCAATTTGTTCTGGGTGATCATGATTGCTGCGCTTGCTAGATCAGTTTGCACTGGATTCGTGAAAGTGGAGAATACCTACATGTAACGTTGCTTTCTTGTAGATCGTCGGACGGCGGCGGCGTCGGCGACGGCGACGGTGACGAAGGTCATCATCATGGAGGCGCCCGAGACGGGACCGAGGGCGGTGGCGGCGGCGGTGGTGGCCGCGGCGAGGAGAAGCACAAGGCCGTAAGTTCGCTTGCCTCTAAATCTCGCGGGCTCATTGGTTCTCAATGCCTACTGATCAACGAGAAAGTGTTTCCACTTCGTCACAGGATCATCTCCTACCTGCGCTTCCTCCTGAACCGCCTCAGGGACACCTCCGATGAGCAGGTCATCAACCGCTCGAACGACGCCTGGAATCTGTACCACCGCCTGACAGGGAGCAGCCGCCGCCCCGCCATCGCCGGCCACGGCGCCTTCCCTACGGGAGATACCCTCGATTGCCTGCTCCGTCCGCGCTACTTCATCCCCAGAAGGCCGCTCTTTCAGAATTGCAGCCTCTACCGAGTTCTCTGTCAGGTGAGGCGGGCGTCTCCATCCTGGAAGGAGCTCGCCATCGGATTGGGATTGGCCGCGGCTGTAGTAGGTGCTACTTTGCTCGTGAGGTACTACGGGGAAGAGGCAAAGAGAAGACTCGTCGCTGATCTTTACACCACTGCCTATCTCAAGGGAGAGTTCGACAGGTTCGACCGCAACGACGATGGTATGTGCCCCTGCCATGTCCTTCTCAACAACACACTCTATCATGGCGTCGGTTTTGAGTTGGTATTGGGAATTCTTGAGCTCTTTATGGAGCATTTGTGTTTGCACTCGTTGCCTCGTTGTTGGAGTGTGCGCCTGTTCTGTGTAGCTGCGGTATCTAGCATCTCGGTGACCCTCCATTGGCCGCAATTGTTCTGGGTGATGATGATTGTTGCGGCTTCTTCCTTGCTTGGATTAGTTTGCACAATTTCTTCCGTTTCATTCTTCCCTAGATAAGGATGGAATCGTGGAAGTGAGAATATCTACCGACTTTTTTTTGTACAGGCTCCGCTAGCACTCTGTTTAATCTGATATTGTGATATTGTCAAAATGACCCATCCGCCGCAACTAGAGTAGTACTGTTGTATTCTTCTCTCTATGTGTTTTTTTTTCATTTGCAAGAATTAGTTCTCATGGTACCTGCTTCACACATGCAAGAGGGTATAATGTGCTTAACTTTTTGTCTATACAGGCTTCATTACCAGTGAAGAGCTTGGAGAACTGTTGAGCTGCTTAGGGCTAAACCACACTGAAGCTGAACTACAGGCCATGATTGAAGAGGCTGCTCCCGATGGAAATGGGGCAATTGATTTTCATGAGTTCTTGACGATTGCACATAATTGGGTTATTAGGGTATGGCTTGCTCTCCTTTTTATTTATTCCTCCTTGGCATAATCCCTTCTTATTTTAAAAAACGCTTTGTGTTCTGTAATTTGCATAACATGTAGTGCTTTCCTTTGATTATGAATAATGTGTAACTTCTAAGTACATCTAGTCAATTGCAATTCAACAATTTAAAGTTCTTTGCATTAGTTGACCAGACAAGCTGCCATTGATTAGTCATACCCTACACTCATTCCTTCGCAATGTTTCTTTGTGTTTGTGTGCTTTGAGTACAACGTGATTGACATTTGATGTTAGTTACATTGTATAACTAGAGTTTTGATTGAGACTAGATCTAAAGAGAACTAATACCACTATTGTATTTATGTAATTTGCATGTTTCAGATTGAATGTTCTTTAGTCCATGCAACAATACTTTAGTGATGAGCAGTGAGTCATTCAAACATGTGCACTGCTTGAAGTATACACTGATTGCTTTCAGTATCATGGTGGCATTTGACATGATCTCGATTTCCTTTAATATTAGCATAAGTCACGAACATTAGCATAAGTCATCACTCACATACTACCTCTGTTCGTTTTTAATCATGTACAGCATTATACTTGTTGTAAAATCTAATTAGTCTGATTTGTACACTTGAAGGACTACCATGATGCAGAGGAAGAATCGATAGAAGCTTTCCAGCTATTTGACAGGGAATTGATATACTGATGCCTCGACTTTTGATTAGTGAAGCATAGATCATGTCTAGGACTTATCTTTTTTTTTTTGGCTCTTCGCGACAAGATATTCGAGAGACAAGTTTTGGATGGCGAGTACGAGGAAATTCTTAGGATCACACTGGTAACTTGTGTTCTTGCTCTTTGTTTAGTTAGCTTGTTTAGACACATTGGCGTGTTTGCTGATGCTAACTGCATATCCTGTAACTCTCCGGTCGCTCTTCACCCACGAATGATGAATTAACAGTTTTGGTTACTGAGGAAGATATATGGTTATTAGCATAAATGGGACATCATTACTTCGGCTGAGATTTTTAGTTGCTTCCTGTTGATGTGTGTTGTGTTCTGATCCTCTCTGTTCTCAATTCAGAAACGGGGAATTGCAAATCTGACTAGTAGTATGCTACTAGGCTAGTGAAGGGTTGCTGGGAGTTGCCTGATGTGGATCGGACGGCTCATATACAGCGAATCGCGGCGGCGGAATCACACATCGCTGCCTCCGTTGGCCAGGCTCCACCACCGCCTCTCCCTCTTGCTCTTACGCGGCCGCTCCCCGCGCCACCCGTGGCCTCCCGCGGCGGCCGACGTCTTCCTCGTCGTCCTCCTCTTCCGCCGCCGCCACGGCGGGCCGGGAGAAGAGCTCGAGGAGGACGTTGGCGTAGCGTACCTGCTAGGCGTTGCGGCGGCGATGGTCGGCGCCTCCTACGCGCCGTCCCGCTCTACCGCCGCTTCTGCCAGGCCACCGGCTACGGCGGCGGCACCATTTCCCTATCGTAATAATCGGTGTTCGGGAACCGATCGAACCTCGATTAAGGTGGCCTTGATTTTGTCGATAGCATGGCTCCATCATTGATACTACTGTTTTGTAGTTTTACAATCTGCTGCTTGGCACTGTTACATACGGAATTTGATGCGATTGGTCAGCTATGTGGATTTTAATAGCCGAGATATATCAAATTCATGGTTGCCTTTGCATGTGCAGTCCTCTATTTGTAGGTTGACAACGGGTTGCCTGCTTAAGCTTTCAGTGTTGTTGTATTGACACCTAAAAATTATGAGTACAGAATTTTGAAATCTGTCAACAAATGGCACTTCCACTCTTGCACTATGCATTCTATTGACAGCTCTAATTATCTATCCTGGAATTTGTTAAAATACCCCCATTGAAAAGGCGCTGTTCAAATATCTATATTAATATAAAAAGTGCGAGTTCATCAACAATCTTGCAATTCTTCACGTGGGACCTACCTGTCATCCGACCCAATCAAACCATCGCACCTCATGCCTCAATTGATTTGGCGGTTTCCACTGGAAATGCACGTGATTAAGGGAGGGGAATGGGAAGGAGCAAGGTGATTACTATGCATGCTGGGCAAGAGGATGAGGGATCCAATGGTGTATATCTGATGTACATATTGATCGAACGGCTGATATAATGTTGATGATGGGGCAAATCGAGGAGGCAGCTTTGGGTCTTAGGGATATGTGTTTGCACAAGCTCTAAAAGATTTCTAGATACGCCACTGTAAACACCGACGAGACGCGTCGTGACGTTCTTGAGATCGGACGTGCACTTACAGGCGGTGACGTTGGTGACGCCCTCGCCCTGCCACCGCTTGGTCCAGCCCGACGCATAGGAAGCCGAGGCTGTGCGCGTGGCTGCCGGCGACGATCGGGGATCTTGCTGGCCTTCTAGGACAGCGGCAGCACCGCGGCTCCTGCCTGCCTGGCCTTGCCGTTCTTGAGCAAGATCACGAGCAACTATACCTGCAATCTCCCGGTGCTCCTTGTTGCCGAGCTCACCGACGAGGGGGTGTGGGTTGGGTGAGAAAATACGAGGCAAAACCGTTAAGTAAAGTCACGTGGCCAAAGGCAGAGGATATGCGTCCCGTTGGCACGCTCTATCTGCCAGACAACTGGCCGATCTCCTCCACCTCTACGCCAGCCTCATCCGTCTGAGCAGGTCATCGACGCGCTCCACGATCGAAAGTCCCTTAAAATTAATAAAATATTTAAAACTTTAACTTATAAATAACATCTAAAATATTTAATAAAGACTACTAGAAAAAAATGCCCGTGCGTTGCAACTGATGAAGGTTATTTAATCTTATTATTATTATTGTTATATGATTTAGTTAAGATAAAATTCAATATGGGAATTTGCTTGGATAATATATTATTAGAAAACCATGAGGTTCAGTTAGGAGTGCGATCGTCTCAAGTTAGCATGTGTATTTTTTTAATAAAGAAATTTCTTATACGACTCCTGTATTTTTAAAAACAAACAACTTAAAAACCTACTCAAATATGGATCTGTATTTTCAAAAGCGAATGAAATTAAAAACTCAAACACGGATGACACCAAAATACTGGCAAAAACATCTTCAATTTTTATAATAGTAGAGATATTCATATATTAGTACTTAAATTTTTAATAAAATCATATGCTTATTAATATATATATATATATATATATAATAAAATAATGATCAAAATTGTTCTTTTAAATACCATGTCTTCATTCAAAACAACCAGAGTTATATAAAATTCGAAAGGAGGTACTTCACTCCACCGTCAATTACTAGAAAAATGATTTTTTTTCAACATTATGATTTATTTTTCCTGACAAATTATAAAATCACCGTTTATAAAAGAGATAATTCGATCCATTGCACAGGAAAGAAAGCGGCACCAAAAAATAGCACAAAAAGTTTCCACTTTTGATCTATAGCATAGGCCACCGATTTTTCTTCGCCCCGTAGCACTTCTGTCGCATTTTGAAGTAACGGCGTTAGATCGGTGTGGAGAAAATTTTCATCGGACACATTTGCCCTTCGTTCCCCACATTCCCCACCAGGTCTCCTCTTCCGCTCTCTCATGGTCGGCGGCGCGGCGGCCATCGGCGTGCCGGGCGACTGCCTTGTCTCTCCGTCACCGCCGAGCGAGCTGCGGCGCGCGCTCTTCAACGACGTGGACGCGTGGCTCGCCGTCGGAGAGGTGGACCCCGTCTAGCGCTTGGCACTGCTGATCCAGGGCGAGCCTCCAGCGCTGGCGGCCGCTTGACGACGAGGACGACGACGATGACGCGGGCGGCCCTAGCGTCGGCGTGGATGGATGTGGCCGCTGTACGCCGCCGCCGCCGCTGACGACGACGATGATGGCCGACTACTTCTCCTCCTCCATCTCCTCGTCCGACGCCGACACGAGTGCGGGCGCGTTGCTGCCCGCGGGGCGGCGGCGTACGGGACGATAACTATGATGCCATCGTGGGCGGTGGCAGTTGAACAGATGATGATGATGATGACGCCGGCGGCGGCGGAGTCCGTGGCGCACTTCGACTCCGCGCTCAGCTCGCTCGTGTCGTCTCCGTAGGGCGGTGGTGATGACTGATGAGATGGCGGCCATCGGCGCCTTATCGGCCGGCTCGGGAGCATCTGCAAACCATGGTGGCACTAGCGCCAACAACTCGTGCTATAGCATGCCGCAAACGCGAGCCCGAAGCGGTCCAAGGTCGCTGGCGTTGGAGATGATGGCGATGGCGACGCGGCGGCGGCTGAGGAGAAGCCAGAGCCAGCCAAAGACTACATCCATGTGAGGGCGAGGATGGGACAAGCCACCGATAGCCATAGCCTCGCCGAGATGGTCATTAATTACCTAATTAATCAACTAATTAATTAAATCCTAATTAGCTTTTTGCAAGTGCAGTACTCCCCAGATTAATCACAATGCGAGGCCATCCTCCTAATTGCACGGCAGGCTCGGGGAAGAAGGGCAAATGAGTCTTTTTTCATGTCAACTCACATGTTTGGATGGCAAATGTGACAGGAGTGCTATGAATCGCAAGAAAATTGGTGCCCTGTGCCTTTGGTCGAAGTGAAAAATGTGTTGTGCTATTTTTTGGTACCGAGTTTTTTTCCTGAGCTATGTATCGAATTTTCTCTTTATAAAAATAGTTAAAGATATTAATCTCATTATACCTTATAAAAATCACCATCTACCCAGCCCCATTTCCACCGAGTCCTCTCCTGGTCTCCCCTCCCACAGTCCCACCTCCCCTTCCCTCTCCCTCACCTCACCCTCCACCCTTCTTAGCGCGACCCCCTCCCTTCCCCTCCCTCCCTCCCAAGTCCGAGCGGAAGAAGGGAGGCCGGTGGCATGAAGACGGTGCGGAGGTGGCACTCCCCTCCTCTCCCTCCCTCCCTCCTCCTAGATCTGGCTGGAGATAGGGGGAGTGACGGCGGCGGCGGCGGCCACCGCATGTGGCGACAGAGGCAGCACGGCAATAGTGGTGGCGCTCCGCTCCCCTCCCTCCCTCCCCGCTCCTAGATTCGGTCGGAGGAGGGGGAGCGACAGCAGCAATGGAGGCGACGAGGAGGGAGTGACGGTGGTGTCACTCTCCTCCCCTAGCTCTCTTCGTCCTTCTGAGATCCAATCGATAGCGGCGATCCCCTCCCCTCCCTCCCAGATCTGGCAGGAGGGGAGAAGGGGGTGGTGGGTAGGGTTGATGGCGACGGATTTTTATTTTGTTCGCTGAAAATATTTCATAGATCTAACACCTGTGAAGATGTAGTGTAGACGTAGGCGGGACCGAAATTCGCATGTGAAAATGATATATTTTTGCAGGCGCCTTGAAGAAGTACAGATGAGATGAATGTTCATCTTGAGAAATTTATTTTCACCCCCTGTAAAAATATATTTTCAGTGCGCTCTCGTCGCTGCAACCGCCCGACAGGGACGACGGCAAAGTGAAGACACGTCGCTGCCGGCGAACGTCACATGCATGAGGCATGATCGATTGATCGTTGCAAGTGCAACCCGCATTGCCAAAGTACGTGCCAACCAATAACAACGCTCGGCACGGTTACGGTTCAACCTGAGCTATACAGTACTCTCTCCGTCTCAAAATAAATACAGCCATAATTTTTCACGTTCAATTTTGATCGTTCGTCTTATTTAAATTTTTCTTAAAAAAATTTAAAACATAAGTCACGAGCAAAGTACTATTTATATTTTATCATTTCATAACAACAAAAATGTTAATTATAAAAAAATTCAAATAAAACGGATGGTTAAAGTTAGGTGTGAAAACTCATGGCTGTATTTATTTTGGGATGAAGTTAGTATTCAAGAGACAGAATCGGTCAAGTTTCGCCTTTCTATATTAGAGACGGAAACTAATACAGAATCTTGTCGGACAACTATTTCGGTTAGTACTAATTAGACTATTATTAATTAGAGACAGGATCCGTTACCGTGGTACTGTAGCACCACAAATCAAATATAGATCGATGTATATTTTTTCTGCGCCCCTTGCGTTGCGCCGCCTCTCCACTACGAGTCTACGACTTGCCGCACGTATTTGATGCCCACACCGTGCTTTCGTCCGGGCTCCTCTTCGAGATCTTACGCGTGGTTGATTTAGCGCCAAGCTAGCCCAGAAGGTATTATTAAGTCCCTTTCATTCGTTTTTCCCCCTTCTCTCTCCTTACGCCTTTTAACACCCATCGTATATATATCCGATGTCCCAATATAGAGTTTACACGGGATCGGATAATCTACCGATCGGTAAGGCTCTGTGATTAACCCGCTCGTAGGAGAAGAAACTATTCTAAACTCTCAAATAGTTATGAAAAAAAAATCAATAAGACATTTTAATATGTGATAAATCACTCCACCCACATGCACTTCTGCACATTGCAATAGAAAAAAAACAAAATTAACGGTGAATATACATTAACTACATTTAGTTTAATTTGTTGTGATATTAGAGGCTGAATTTTAACTTGCATGTTTACATGGGTGATATATCACATGTTAATAAATATATTCAATTTTTTAATTTTTTTTGTAACTATTTATATGACATGCAAATAACGAGGGAAGGTCCACTCGAGAGTTTAAAATCTACTCTCTCATAGGAGGGATTGGCAATGGCTATTGAGTTATAGAATTAATCCCTCTTAATTAATTTCTTTCTATCATAAGGATTAATCGAACAAGTTCTAAAAGAAATTAGTTTCAACTCATACAAGGCTATTTATCTCTTATATGTAGCTCCCTCATATATGTTTAAATAATCGCTTTTCGGTCAATTCCGAGTTTCATTTTGTTAATTTTTCTTCTTCACCGTGCTAATTCACTCGCTTTTTTCTTTTTTAGTCTCTATATATCTTCCATTCAAGCCAGTCGTATCGAGTTGGCATTGATTAATTTGACCATATAATGCCTCGAGTCGGCGACCGGACAGCATGCTCGCTACCTAAAGTGGCAAATGAGCTCCTCTATCTCTCTTGCATCATGGCGACATGTTACATAGAACGAGAGTACGTGAGACGGGGAAACGGAGATGGCATTCTTCTTAATTTAGTGGAATTCGGATTGTACGTGGCAGGACTGGTAGGCATGGTGGAGACTGCTAGATTCTTTTTCCTTGATGCAACCAATTCACCCAATGCACGGCGATATTCGAGACGATCGAATGCACGGCGTGGTTGATGACCGGCTGATTGTAGTTCTAGATAAGATTTACATGCACAACATTAGTGATTATACTCTTGCATTCTGATTTTGTTTTTCCCCTTAATGACTGTACTGTGGCATTGTGGTTGATTTATCTGTTAACTACTTTGGCATTGTGAGTTTTTGACTGAGTTTGGGAAAAATTACTCCCTCCAGTAGTCCAGTCATTTATATATATACTAGTGTTAACAAATTCGTATTAAGACCACATACATGATAAATGCACTCAGATAACTCACCGTATCCCAAATATAAGGGACAACTATATTTATTTTCCCCATATTTCATAATATAAGGCGTGCGTGCACATGCAATTAACTAGCATTTCTTTCTCTCCATAATTTCTTTTTTTAAAAATCCTCTGCCCTCAAGATCTCAAATCATATTGGGTGCGTGTATTGTATTTATTGAAGCGATCCAAACGAGGAGATGATAAAAAAAATTTTTCTTGGTACCTGTGTTAGTGCTAGTTGCATCTTGTATTTTGGAATGTATGGAGTATCTATTAAAGATAAAACAGGTGAATGCCACCTATAATTTAAATCATGTCATCTACTCATTAATTACGAGGTAACAAATACAACATATCACATCAGTTCACTCTCAAGTCTCAACCATCTTACTTTTTCTTGAGAAGTTGTATGAAGGTTTGTCCCTTGCATCCGGTGACTCATTCTCGCTTTCTAATTCCTCTCCTCCACCTCATCATTTCTCTATGGCAAATTTAGGAGTAACATGTAAACTGTGTTCTTCCCTCTTTATTTTCTCAACTCACTTTCCACTTTTCTTTCATGTGCGCATGTGCGCTTCTTAAACTGCTAAATATTTTTTTTTTGCAAAAGTTATCTATAGAAAAGTTGCTTTTAGAAAAAAAAAATCATATTTCATTTCATAAAGAAACTTCTATATAAAATTTACATGCTAATGAAAAATAAGAAAGTTAAAACATAAAAGCAAGATAGTCTCTAGTGACATTAACTAATATATAGAGAGCTTTTATTAGACTCACCTTTCTACATGCTCTAATGTTCCATTCTTCACTTTCTCTCTCTTCCTGTCCGTAATTTTTTTTACTTGATGTCAGTAAGTATTCCTAATATGTAAAGTTAAGAGCCCCTATGCGTGCCCTAATAATAAAGAAAGAAGAGGGAGACTCCATGTTTTTTTTTGGAGATTAAGACTCTTAAACAAATGCTAACATGCTTTCTTTCTTACCTAAAAAATATTAAGGCTCTTAAATTTCGACCACCATTTTCCTATTAAAATATAACAATGATATTTAACAAGACTATAGTATTGTACAAGTACTTATTAAAAAATCTACCGTATGGTTTTTATGTTTTTAAATTAAATATTTTAAAAGCTATTGATGGGAAAAAAATTTAAAAGCTTAACCAAATAAAGTTAACAATATCATGTATTAAAATATGGTGTATCTTACGTATAATTCTCGTACACATATTTACGTCAATACTTTATTTCACCAAAACCAGGTATTACATTTTTTTTATTGAGTGTATATGTTGTGTAGCTGATATGAATAAATGTATGTAGTAACATTTTTACATCAGAATATAGCTTTTATGTTTTAACATAGAACCCGTGATGCTAATCAGTGGTAATTCATGAGCAACGGAACGAATGACAATAACTTTCGCAGTTGCAGAATTACTTTCTAATCTTGATCTGGGTACCTCGATACTTGTTCATTAATACTAAGACAAGCATCAACACCCAATTGGAAGAAAACATCCTGACGACTGTAGAAGAACTCCAAGCGATGCCAGTGGCTAACAAAAAGGACAGTTAGAAAAATGGCTAACAAGAAAGCAAACACCAGCACAGAAGAAAGATACAGTTTTGTCATTGCTGATGCTAAATTACATTGTATACCTAGCACAAAAAATTACACTGTATAGCTTCACCAATTGGGACTGGGAGGCCGTAAAAGATACAATCACAGAACATGTATTTACATCTAGCTATATCATCTTCTGTAGTGTATCAGGTACAAAATTTCCAGTCGAATTGCTAACGACATGGATAGGGCTTCCCCAAGTCTACTGTCTAAACCCGCTTCCCATCTACTACTTACTACACAGCATTAGAAGTTACTACATACTGCCAAAACAACGCACTTTACACCATAAGTTGCAGTTTCAGAACTAAGTTTACCTCGTCAGACTATCGTCACTGGAAATATGAACCGAAGGGAAGTAAGAAAGGGGAAAAGAATAGAATAGTCACTTGGCTTTCAGGTAGCGTTAGTGCCTCTTCAAGAATTGATCGGTCCAGCCGCCATGAGCGCACCACCGCAGAGCACACAAAGAAATAATGGTGGCACAGGCTCGCTGTCTGCAATGCCCACGCAACGTGTGTGGTGCCATACATCGCAAGCATCGCATGCTATCATGCGCTCACCATCATCATCCTGCGCACCACACACGCACCGCACCTCCCACAAGTCAAGTCCACCATGGCACCGCAGCTCAGTTTCCATGTCTGCCCCATTGCCATACACGCTGATTGTGTCACCATTCTCTGCCCCACCAAGCATCACTGGATCCCATTTCTCCCCAGCAATGCCATGCAGCCCTTCAGCCTGGAATTCCTCAAAGAAGTAGTAAGTGTCCCGCAGCGCATGCTCTGACTCGACAAGAAGCTCACCCATGGATGCATGGAGTGGTACCACCACAATCTCCCCCAGTGGCATTGGCCGTATAAGCTCAGCAGCTTCCCATGGCTGGGGTTGCCACTCAACGAAAAACCTCAGCTGGTCATCGGACTCATCCCCAAGGCCCCACCACTTCACCCAGTGCTTGCAGTCCAGCACAGCCTGTGCTGCCTCACTGCGCACCTCGACCATTGCTCGGTAGACAGCACGCAGATCTCGCTCTACTTCCACTGTGCTAGGCCACCGTACCACAGGTGGCAATGGTGTGCACTCTACCTCAACATCCAACAGTGCTGGTGTTGGCTCTTCATATTCCTCAAGGCTAAAGTGAAGCACACGTGTTTCAGCATCAGGCACACGTCGCACAATATAGTTGCCAACAATGGTATCACCAAGGGACTTGATGACAAAGTCAAGGAGACCAGTATCACCAATGGCGCCCCTTGCAGCATCTCGCACCGCCTGCCGTGTCATCTCTGCCCCGCTGCCATGCTCTAGCAGCCTGTCAACAACAACCTCTGCAGCATCAAGAAGCCGCTTCTTGGACCAGCGACACTGGAGCAGGTCAATCACATCCTCAAAGCGCTGGCATGGCTGCTGCCTGTGTCTCTTCATCACAGATGGCTTTGGCAGCATGAATTGCAGCCGTGTGCATGTCTTCACAGGAGGTAATTGAAGGGGTGGCTCAAGGTGCTTCCAATCAAGGAGGCAGCGGAGGAACTCACGGACTGTAACCAGAGGTTTGTTGGATAGGCGGCGGTAAATGGTTACCACACGGCGGACGTGACGGCTGCGAAGATAGTCCACAGGCAGGGCAGCCAACGCTTCCACGGAAGCTGCATAGGTCGAGGTAGACACACAGAAGCAACCCCTTGCAAGGCAGTATCCCCATCGGGTGAACCATGTGTCACCATGTGCCACGCTGAGCAGGAGACGAAGATCCAGAGAGCGTTTCTGGGAAAAGTCCACCACAGACACAGCCCTGCACAGAAGGTTCTCAAGCTCAATAGATGAAGTAGTAATCATCATGATATAATAACCTTTGCGTGCTTATCATAATTTAGGATCACCAAGAATACATGCAAAAGTTATGAACTTCTATAACTTATCCTCCTTACCTCCTAAGTTGTGCCATGGAAGTTTTACACTAAGCCCCTTTCCGTACAGGCGTTTACATAACATGAGCTAACTAATTCTTCAGTCATGATAACAGAAGCATGTGCAGAGAACTAACGATCAGGCAGAAAACAATCTGAAGCTACCTGGCACGAAGAGCGGAGCAGAGGCAATCCCAGATGTCCATGATGTCACGGCCAGATAGTGCAGTGGAGCCGCCATCGCGACCACGGAGCATGACAAGGTGACCAAAACCATTGCTGTGGATCAGGCCATGGAGGAGGTGGTCGGTGCGTCCAAGGATCACATCAGCAGCAAGCTGGCGGTCCCAGTCAGCGGGCGCCGGAATAATGAAATGGTACTTCCGCTTTGACACCCAATGGTGGCTCCAACCTGACACCATTAGTATAGCACGTATTTGTTAGTACTGGTTCAAAGAACCAGGAACCAACCCAAATCAATGCCCAAACTACCAATTTTCCAATAGAAGCAATAAACTTTAAGAGGCCAGAGGCCATCATTACAACTAGCATTGCTGTTTTAGGAAACGGATTCAAAAAATAATTGAAATAGACACACCAAATCCAGGTAAAGGAGTACAGAAAAAAAAAGTTCCAATGATCATCGATTCAAGTACAGTAACAGAATTCAGTTATTACGATCCATTTCATCAACGGAATCAAAAGTTGCTAACTAGTAAGTGCTCAATCGAGGGCGCGATTCTGGAACGTTATTCACCAAGAAATTTGCAATTTGGAAGAAGATGACCGTCTCAAAGTCGTCCAAAGAAATCTCTAGGATCACAAACCCGCGCATTTCCTCAAACCACGATGAAAATATCATTTGCAAGAACAATACGGAGTACTACTCATCAATTCGCCCAAATCAACTCTAATCAACAAGAAAAGGATTGGGGGGAAAACCTAATCTCCGCACCCGTCAACTCCCACCCATTTCGAAAGGGGAAGGCGCGGCGCGCACGGCCAAGCACGCGAGGAGCCATATGGAGGAGGAGGGAAACTCACCCGCCCAGCGGCAGTAATCGCAGAGCGGCTTGGGCGAGGACGCGACGGGCTCCTCGACGGCGAAGATGGGGACGACGACGCCGGTGCGGTCGTCGGAGAGGAGCACCCGCCACGCCACCGCCACCGCCGCCGACGCCGACCCAGGACCCCCGGCGGCGGGGGAGGCGGGGGAGGCGCCGCCCCACTGCCTCAGCAGCCACCGCACGTTGTCCCGGAACGCGCCGCCCAGCCCCGCCGCCTCCCTCCCCGGGAAGTCCCGCAGCGGGTAGACGCGCGGCGCCCCCGCCGCCGCGGGCGCGGCCGAGGCCGAGGAAGAAGACGACGACGAGGTGGTGGCGGCGGACGACGGCGGACACGGCCTCTCCGCCTCCGCCGCCGCCGCCTTCGCCGGCGGCGGCGGCGGCGGAGGTGGCGGCGGGGGCGTCGGCCACGAGGCGAGCCGCTCGAGCGCGCGCATGGACGGCATTGCCCTGGGCTCTCCTTGGCGAGGCGTGGCGTGGCCGCGTGGGGGGGTTCTGGGTTTTGGGCCGCGGCGGCAGGGGCGTTTCCGTAATTTTGCACCGCCGCGAGGTGTCGTGTGCTTGCGCGGTGCGGTGCGCGTCGCCGAGCTCCCCGAAAACAAAACACACCGTGGCCCGCGCGCACAGCACTGACCGGTGGGGCCTACACTTCGCGCATGCCTAGTGCACCGACGGTATCCTACCCACGGAGGATGCCTCGCGATGACATGTGGGGCCCACTCCGGTGGGCCATGGGTGTCGGTGGGAGTGTGGTAGGTGGGCGTTGCGTGGGGATAAGTTATGTGGACTGTGCGATGACAAAGGTGGCGGAGAAAGGGATAGGGGCGGAGAGGAGAGGAGACGTTGGCGAGAGGAAGGGGAAGGGGGCGACGTGGCGTGTGATCATTGGCGGTTGGGTTCTTGGGCCCAGGGTTCAGATACGTTGAACCTGACCGGTTTGTCTGTTTCCTGTTTCGTTTGGTGCGGTCAAGCTAAATAATTTTGTCTAAAGATTTCAGCTGTGCCGGTCAAACCAACATGTTCTCGTGCTTCACCGTTGCATGACGCCGGAGTATGCCTTCTTCGCGCTCTGATGCTATCACTGGGTATCGCGTGCTCCTAGTATTAGGCCCTGATTAGTTTCTAAAACCATCCCATTAAACCTTTGAATAGATGTATGTAGCATTAAATATAGTTGAAAATAAAACTAATTGTACAGTTTACCGTCATTAGTATTTATTTACCGTAGCAACATATTGTCAAATCATGACACAATTAGGCTTAAAATATTCGTCTCGCAATTTACACACAATCTAGGTAATTAGTTTTTTTATGCATGTGTCCAAACATTCGATGTGAAAGGGTGAAAAATTTTTATTTGGAAACTAAACATGGCCTTAGTGGAAGGCTTAGAGCGCCTGATATATTTTTTTCAATCGGTCGACCGATGTGAAACGTTGTCATAAAACTATTTGAATACTGACCAGTACGTAAGATGTGTAGTTTTATGCATGATTTAGGCTGTGTTTAGTTCAGCGCAAAGTTTGAATTTTGATTGAAATTGGAGATGATGTGACTGAAAAATTGTGTATGTATGACAGGTTGATGTGATGGAAAAGGACTAAAGTTTGGATCCAAATTTTGGATCTAAACACAGCCTTACATAGTGGTGGCCGCAAGATCTTGATGGTGGGAATTTTATATTTCTCAATATGAACTTTTGCTTCCTGGACAAAATTGCCCCTCGCTAATGAGGTTTACCTTGTTAATCGCTTTTTAATCCAGACCATTGATGTGCTTTAATTTTTGTAAAGGATTTTTTATTGAGGAGCATAGAAGCACTTCTCATATGTTAACAGTGTGTTTTACCAGCTGACTAGTTACTTGGTATCATGAATGTGTTGTTGGTTTGGAAAAAAATAAACTTACTTGTGTTTCGTTGATTCGTCCATGAAGCTAAATATAGGCTACTCAAATTGTTTTGGCTGCTGTGGAGTGTGAACTTCATGCTTTTGCTTTGAAGATCAGCCTGCATGTTCTGCCCCCACTAATTTGTCGCATTTTGGCCAGCTTTCAATTGTTATATAAGCTTCAGTGTCTACTCCTCTGTAAAAAAAACAAGCAAAAAAACAAAAAACAATGCTAGAGATATATCTAGACAGTGTATGTCTAAATATATATCTTTAGGATTAGATTTTTTTTTTGGACGGAGGGAGTACGTCGTAGTTTTGGCTTTGGTTGTCATTTCAATATAGTTATATATCATAAAATGCACAAATGCTAGAGTAAAGTCATTAACAGTTAATCCAAATGATAATATCACAGTAAAAAGTCGCATCTTTGGGTGTGCCCAGTGTTGACCGATGTATGTAGGTACTCCCTCCGTCACGCAAAAAGCAAATATAGATTTAGATGGGACATTTTATAGCACCACAAGGATACAAGCTTGTTCAAATTTATTGTACAAATAAATGTTTTATCCAGCACTAAGTTGGTCTTTAGAGCCTCTCATCCCTTGAATCTTCCCGTGCATAAGGTGAGTCGATTGCATCCAGAATGAAAAACTTAACCGTCTGCACCATACCGACCACTCCTGTAAACCACGCTCCGCATGCTATCAGATTAGGAAGGACACAGTTTATTCCTTGTCTGACATAATTCCGTTGCATGTAGCATGTCCCAATGATGCAAGACACGTATAGGAGCTCGTATTTTACTTTTGGCATCGAATTAGCTGTCCGATCCCCGGCTCGAGGCATCTCCAACTCTCCAAGCTGAAAAAGGAACCAATCGTAAAGTTGAAGGATCTTATTATTTAGCTTATGCTTATACTTATAAACTAAAATTTAAGCTTTAAAATTTTGATTTTGAATTTATTATTTTTGGTTTTTTCATCATAGTTTATTTTATAAAGTTTGCTTTTGAGTCGCTAAGGACACATATATAAAAGTTTTACTCACAAATAATCTTTTATTTACTAATAAACAATTCACATAAGTATATATATAAGCGAAACAATGGAGTGAAACCAACAAAATAAGTTTACTCAAAATTGTGTAAATTACACTTTAGGCTAGTTATTTTTATGGATCAAGTTTTCATACCAAAACTTGTGCTTTTGGGCAATCGGGCTAGTGGCCCAGCCCACTAGCCGTGCTTGCCACTTTGATCTGGTATTATCGCTCGTGTTTACACAAGTCCTGTATTTAGAGCCCACTAAATTAAAGGCATATAATTGTTGATTTGTTGTATCACATATTTGCAAAATAGTCCATTAGGTACTAGACTTGAAAGAGGAGACAAGAGGATAGAAATATATATACTTATATCAAGAGGGAGGTATTTCTTTTTCCGAATAAGAGGTTAAAATAGATATATCAGCTACATAGGAGAAAATTACTAAAATAAATATTATTCTTGTGAATAAGAGGTTAAATTAAGGTGATGTATCAACTACTACTCCATATGAAAAAGTGACTAAAATAAAAATAAAAATAATATGGTGCCAAATTCTTTTCTTCAAAACTGATAGGATCTACGTATTGTTTTTATTTCGAAAAAAAAATTGTTGATTGAGAGGAAGCGGTTAGCCGGTGATAGAACATAGTACTCGATCCGTCTAATCCCTCTGAACGCTGTGAGTATCTAAAAAGGAAAGAAAGAAATAAAATAATTGAGTAATACGTGCTTACCGGCCGGTGCCCTTGGCGTAAAAAAGAGGGAGAAGTAGCGGTAATCCAATGAGGCTGTATCGCGAAGTCGACGTGGAGAGGCGGCATACGCGGTGGATATCTCATCACGAGCCGGGGTAAGTAATGAATCCTATTTCTAATTTTAATCCGTGTCGGAAACCAAGCTTCTTCGATGAGTTTGGATCAGGCCCGTCATCTGAGTAGCACTTCTTTTTTTCTAGTCCCAATTTGGACCGGACTCATCCCAACCGCTTTTCTTTTACAATCACGGGCTCCTTAAGCCATGTTCACTTTAATATCATTTTCAACCTTACTAAATTTTGATAAAGTTATAAAAAAATAGCTATATTGTTTCCTGTCAAATTTTAGTAACAAAATAAGAAATCTGCTTTGGTGGGGATCGGAGTGGGCCAGCGGAGCGGGCGCCTCTGCCTACACGAAATTGGCGGCTAGCGGGGACACGGCGGTCGCCGTTGCAGGCTGGGTGGGTGACGCCGGCGTCCTAGCCGGTCGGCCACGACGTCGCGCCGGAACCGCGAGCGAGCGAGCCCCGCGCATGCAGGGCAGCGAGGCGGGCTACGGCCTGGTGGCTCGCGCCACTGGGCTGGAGCGCGGCCTGCTAGCGACGGCGGAGGCAAAGCAGCAGGCCAGCAACAGCTTGGTCAAAAAGAAAAAAAGAAAAACAAAAGAGGGCAATTTGATAAAAAAAAATTAATAAACACATTGAAGAGGTGAGTAGTGTCATATATTTTAAATATGTGCCAGATTATAATAGTATAGATCCAAATAGATAAATAGTAATAACAATTTACAATGGTACAGATCCAATTAAAACAAGGCCAGTATTCTGATCTCGTGTGACTGCTTATCATCCGCATGCTCAAAGAACCAATGCAAATAGGAGTATAATGAAACAGAAAGCGGAGAAAGCGGTAGACTCCGGGACTCAATGATATTACAGTATCACCATGAACTAGTGCTAAACTGCTAATTGATCTTTGCATTCAGAAAAACAAGAGGAATCCAGTGAGAATATCACCCATGCTCAACACAAGAACGCACAGAATAGTAGCGGCGCAAATTTAACCAGCTCCACTGAAGATATCAAATCATATATGCTACTCCTACCAAGAAGATTTGAGGCACACATATTTTTCAGGTAGAAACTAGAAACATGTCGAGGTCATAGTAGTAGTATCACTTAGCCAACCATGTCCAAACTACTCTTCCCACTAGAACTACGGAAAAGATGACATGGTAAAAAACTACTCTACGATCGATAAGACCTCACAACACCAAGTTCTCTGCAGACTTGTCTCATCAAAGTTAGAAACAATCAGGATCCCCTGTACGGCTGTACTGAGACTCGATTGCCACCGGACTCGCCTTCCATGGAGCTTCTTTATCCATCAAGACGGCCCCGACATTCTTCTTTGCAAACAGAGTCGAGATCTATCAGAGGCAACAGCATGTTGTTAATTAGCTGTCAATTAACAGCATAAAAAGAACAGCATGTCGTTGTCGGTAAGAGATAAAGACCTGAACTCCTAAGAGGATTTACACTTGTCTCATCAAAGTTGGTACCGATCAGAAGCGAGGCCCCCCTCACAGAGACTCGACTGTCACCGAACTCGTCTCCCCTGGAACTGCAGCATCCTTGACCACGGGCTCGACCTTCTTCTTGCCAAACACCTGAATTACATGACAGGAAACCACAGATTAGCCCTCGAGAACCATCAGAGGCAACAGCATCTTGTAATTAGCTATCAAAATAACAGCATAATAAGAAGTCCAGTTAACTTCAGTCTGCCAAGTCTGCCAAGAACAGAGAACATGACAAATGCCATTCGTTGCAACTGTAGAACCCGATTGCAATTTAGAGTGCGTTGCTAATTTGAAATGCAAATGCTAGGAGCCTAGGATACGCTGCTGCAGGTAAGTAATTGTCCATGGCAAATGTTTAGGAGAGATCACACAAGCAGATACAGCTAAACCTTGCATACCAAGATAGAGAACCATGAATCATTTGCAAATATTTCAGCACCAAGACAAAACAGTGCAGAAATGTCATCGCTGGTAGAAGTATATGCAGAAATAGAGACTTGATAAGCAGATTTAGTAGTAACTGAAAGCAGGACAGGTTCCATGTCATTTGCAAATCATCTTCAACATAATCTTTTATTTGCCACTACTTCTAACATGATTGCTAGCAACAAAAATCATTACACAACAAAAATAGCGTCACAAATCCACAAGGAAAAAACCGAACGCCTCTGCTTCTCTACGGCACAAATCGAGTAACATTGAACCTGACCACAAATGACGATTCAAATCGAAAACACAAGAACCTACTCACAGGTTTTCCCTTAAACACAATGAAAGCCAAGAATCGAACTCACAACGCTTGTTAAACCTCAAAGCACTAGTAGAGTTTGTACAGAAACAGAGACTCCGCAATACAACATTGAACCCACCAATGATTAAAATGGTGAAACAAGAACCTATTCGCAAACAAAACCTTTCCCCCCTAAACACACACAAGGCTCGATGCAAAACAGCATGAACTCGCATGCTAATCGCGTCTTCGACATGATCCATTACAAAACGACGACCACGCTGCATCCCAACCGATCCAACACTGTAACCAACCACCAAGATAAATTAAACTGCTAGAAGAAGAACTAGTAGTACGCACGGGGGGCAAAAAAAGAAGAAACTCAACCCAGAAGCGAATCACTTACAGGAAGCACTACGACTACACGCGCGGCTGAGAAACTCAGAAGCGAAACACCATCACAGGTTACAACCAAGCAAAGTTTGCAGAGGATGGAGGGGAGGATCAGAGGAGACGGGTGCGCTCGGGGGGAAAGGGGGACGTTACCGAGCTGCTCTTCTGTGAGACGAACTCGCCGGCGGCGGTGCGGAGCTTGTCGATCTTGACTTGGTCGCCTCCCCCTCCGCCGCCTCCGTCTTGTCGAGGCACGAGCTTTTCCCCAGAGTTTTTCACGGCGAGGTAACGCGGCCACGGCATGGAAGAAGGTGCGGCGACAAGAATTAACCTAAGACCCTGCACCGTGCAAACAAAATGTTAAACAACACATCCAATTTCACCGTGCAAAGCAGACACCAAGTTAACTAACCTTTGGGGCGTCATCGTCCCTTGCGACGCCATCGCCTCCTCCTCCTCCACCTCCGCCGCCTCCTCCTCCCCCTCCACCTCCTCCACCTCCACCGACATTACCATCTCCTCCCCCTCCTCCATCTCCACCAACATCGCCTCCTCCTCCCCCTCCCCCTCCACCTCCACCTCCACCCAACCTGCCCCTGTAGTTGCAATGCACCGCATACAGAGCAAATACCGAAACCGCGACCCCTGCAGATACGATCAGGAACATCCTCTTGGACGGTGTAGCGTATGATGCTAACTTCAGGCGCAACCGCTCGATCCAAAGCTTCAGAGCTCGTCCATTGAAGACGAAGACGAGTTTGGGCCTGACGCTTGGGTGACGGGCAGGAAGGCGGGGGTGACCAGCGCGATTCTGAGTCCTAGTACTATCAGATGTGTCAGAGTGAACGATTTTGTAGAGATTTAACAGCTTCTCGAGTTTATCGAGGATCTCCTCGACCTTTGTCCCTTTCACTCTTATTCTGACAGTACGATACGCATTGGAGAAGACCCTGTGAAGTGGGAAAACCACGCTTAGATTTGGGGATGAACTGATTGGAAGAAGAACGAACGAACACACAGCGCCGCGGCGAGAGAAGTCGAGAAAGCGAAGAAACCGATCGAGAAGGCGAGAAAGCGAGAGATTAAGCAGCAACTCACCCACGCGTTTTCCTCAGCGCGTCAGCGATCTTCTTCGCCGCATCACCGGATGGCCGCAAGGTAGTATCGGCCATCTCCTTCGCGCGAGAGGTTTCTGCGGGACGAGGGAGGCAAGACGGAGAGGGAGAGGAAGGCAGCTGGGCTGGAGATTTATATAGCGTTGCGGACCGCGCGAGGTTGGGCGCTGGTGCGTGGCATGAGGTTGGGCGCTGGTGCGGTGCAGGACCGAGCCGGACGGGATTCGCGGCGCAAGCGGAGGCGCGGTGCTGCTGGTCGCAGTGCAGGGGTTCCGATCCGCCTGGACGATGCGCGGGGCGCACGGGAGGCGCGCGGCACACTAGCCTGGCATTGGTGGCCGGTCGGCGAGGCGGGCAGTGCGCGCGGCAACGTCGTGCGGGTCAGCCAGCGCGACCAGGGTGGCACGGGCACGGCACGTACGACATCGCGACCGAAATAGCTAGTTAGCGAACGTTCGTTGATTTTCGATACGGCGAACGTGTCGCGGGACAGATTTCTTTCCTTTTCTGATCCGTTCCCTTTCCGTTTTTGTGTGGGCGGAGGCCTTTTTTTTTTCACTGGGCCGGGCTTATTGCTTTCGAGCCACGAACACGTCCAGTTCCAACTCCCCTGTGCATGCGTGATTAGTGGCAGTGCCCTTGATTAGCCCATGTCACTAACGAAGTAGTAGCGATTTTCCTGTGCATGTGACCATGTGTCATTAGCGGCAGTGCCCTTGATTAGCTCATTTATTTATGAAACTTTAAATATTAATCCCAAATTGATAGGATGTATATTTATTTTTTATATCGTTAATTACATCAAACAGTAGTAGATTGCAAATTTTATTCCCAAATTTTTTTCAACTACATCCTCTCTTCTATAAAAAAACAATTCTAACTATAAATCTGGACACGTGTGTGTTCAGATTTATAGCTAGAATTGATTTTTTTATCGAGGGAGTACATAAATTGTCAAGATAACCTTTTATAATTTTAGGGTTTAAATTTCTTATTCTTGTACAAAGTTGGTAGTATTATGAAACTTTCTAAATATAATTTTTTTATGTACAAAGTTTATGAATGGAAATTTTTAAATTTTGTATAAAGTTTATGAATGAAAATTTTTTATGTGCAAAGTTTATGAATGTAAATTTTTATTTATGTATAAAATTTATGAATGGAAATATTTTATGTATAAAGTCTATGAATGAAATTTTTTTTATTATGCATAAACTTTATGAATGGATATATGTTATGTATAAAGTTTATCAATAGAATTTTTTATTTATGCATAAATTTTCTGAATACCAATTTATATTCATACATAAATACTTTAAGTAGGGTTTTATTTGAAAAGAGAAGTGTTAATAATTTAAGAAAAAATGTGTGAGAATAATTAAAATTTTGATACCAAATACTAGATAATTATATTTTCTCTCTATATGTATTTCAATATAATTTTTTTTAATATTTACTAGTAATCAAGCGGAATATCCAATTTTTACACCCTTAAACTGTAATCACGCATGCATGCAAGAGCACTCTCTGGTTTGTGTTTGTTAGAGTATGTTGGGCCAGAACGCGAAGAGCAATTGTCCTGCTGGGCGCTGAAACAAGCAATGCTAATTGCTGCTAGATGCTAATCACGTGCATGCATATGCAGCCGAGAAGCGAGAAATGTCGGAGGCTCGGAGCCCGTTCGCGACAAGCGAACGCTCGCGAACCCACTTGTCCTAGCTTGATGGGCCGCTGGCCTTGCTGGCTGGGCCGGCAAAGGGAACAAGAGGGGGAATAAGTTCACTTGATGATCCTTAAAAGTGATCGAAATCTAATCCATAACCTTTAAACCACAAAACCGGATATCTCGATCCCTAAACTTTTAAAACCGGTGTAATTTGACTGACGATTTTGGAGGGCGGTTTCGCTGACGTGACGGTATTGACCGGGTCTCCTTTACACGTGGCATTGACGTGACGTTTAGGTGGCATTTAGAATTAAAAAATAAGTGTGGGACCTATTTGTCATTGACACAGAAAACAAATTGTGGGACCCATGTGTCCCTTCTCTCTCTCTCCCTCCTTCCAGTTCCTTCTCCCTCCTCACCGCTCCCTCTTTCTCTCCTATGGCGGGCGGCGAGGGTCGGATCGGTGGCGCGCGGAGACGGCGGCGAACGGCGGAGGCGCGGGCGTGGCGCGGCGAGCGGCGGAGACGCAGGAGTGTGTAACATACCAGAAAAATTTAAAACTTTTTGAAAGCTAAGACATTTGAGAGCATAATAGTTGAGCTTAGAGTTAAAATCCTGTAAATAAGATAAAACACAAAGTTTTGCTGAAACAAGATTAGAGCTAATCTAAAATTAGATTTTATAAAATCTTGAGTTAACAAATCTCAATTCAAATAAGTTGGTTTAACCATAAAATAGGAATTTAATTCTTTTGGTTTTGCATTTCACTAAGCAAAATATTTGAACTAAAAGAAAAACAAATGAAAACATAAGATTTAAAATAAGCAAAACCTAAATGGAAATAAATATACTTGGTTGTATGTGCATTTTATTATTTTAGGTTTGTTTTTGGATATTCTTGGTGCATCTCATAATAGGTTTCATATGCATGTCATGTCTAAAGGAAACTCCTAAAAGAAAATAATGCAACAATAAATTACACCAAAATTCTCATAAATATTACATAACATCCTGAGTTTGTAGTAATTTTATTTTTAATTTATCACATCAAATGGTATCTCAAATAATTCCAACAACACATCTAGAAATCTGAAAAACAACATATCATTTAGCCTACTTTGCACCTTTATCAAAATTTAACCATCATTTATCTAGCTAAACCACTTGGTCAAAATGTTAACTATAGTGTACTCTACCACCTGCTGTAATTGATTAATTAAATTCGAAATGTAACCACAGAAAATGAGAGCCACAAATTGCTTAAACAATATTTAGACTGCAGCCAACATAGTAACTTAGGCCTCTTTACTAAATTACCATGGTAACTCAAAAAGTAATTAAATCTTGGAACTTGGCACATTGAACCATCAAATCCTTGTCTACCTTACAGCAACCTTGTATCCCAAAATTCTAAATTAAATGGTAGAAAGGAGAGGGATTAAAACTACATGTTAGAATAAATTCAACACTTAAAAAATTTAGAGCTTTTAGGCCTCTTCTTCTACATCTCTCTTACAAATGGGACCTAGCCATGGTGGGACCCATGTGTCATCCTCACCACAGCAACACCCCTTTTCATCACCTCTCATCAAATTAATCTTTTGTTAATTCAAAAGTAAGAGGATAAGATGAAAATCAATTCCTACCTAAACTACTACTCTACCTCTCACATGGACCTAGAATGTATCTACATGGACTCACTTATCATTTACACATCAGCTAAACACCTTAGTTAAAATACTCCTTTGATCTATCCTTCTTTTAGTCAAAGACAAAGAAAGAGAGAGGGAGAATTAAAAAACAATTTTCACCCAAAACCTCACCATACCTCACATCTTCTCCTAGGAAATCACTATATGGGGCCACTAGACAGCCACTCATACTAGATTAGCTGAAGTACAAGCTGAATCTCAGCCCTAAACTCAATCCTCTCTCCAAAATAGTGTCAACACCACATATGGACACCTAGCTCTCACCATGCCACCTCAACTTTCACCATTAAAAGAATCACTTCGCCATAGTAATTTTCTCTCATCCCTCATCGTGTTCCACTAAGCAAAACACTAAGAACTCTCTCGGAGAAACCTAGAAAACCCCATCTTTCTCAGTGGCCAGTGTTTGATCCATTGCATGTCTTCTCTGGTGGGCTTCGCCGCATCTCAAGGATTGGATTGCGATCATCTTCCTATGCCTGATCTATTCATGTTCTTGTGTTTCAATATGGCACAGGTCGAACACCCTGCGTCGAGCTCGTCGTCGCTCCCGGCGTCCAGAGCGCCGCCTTGCGTCGCATCGCCGTTCCCATCCATCCGGTGGATCTCTGGCCGAGCCACTGCGCCAGCGACGTCGCCTAGGTCCAGGGAGAAAGACGCTCAAGAAGATCGAGGCCTATGCACTGCCGTCTTAAAGATCGAGCTCGCCTTCCTCATCTCCGGCTGCCGGCTTATTCCTTCGATTCCTCGCTCTCGGGTGAGCTTCGGCGCAATTATTCGCACGTGTGGCATCCTCAGATAGGTTTTGAGTTGTCTCCCTCCTTTCCTTGGCAGCCCGAAGACCGGAGCGAGCCGACGCCATCCATCGCCGCCGGAGAGTTCCTCGGCTTGCCGTCGTCGTTCAAGCTCCGCCGGCGCACACACGACCTCAAGTGAGCACCCAGGCACTCCGTAGAAGCACATGCATACACTCTTTCACA